ATACCAAATAAATGAATAAGTTTAATACGTACAAACAAGTGGCCGGGTATCAACGAGCTGCCGCAGATAACATTTCCATGTATATATTTTTTTCTTTATTTACAGTTTAATGCAAATCACTGTATCTATAATATAATAAATCTACAGATATCAATTATAAGGCCACATTTTATTTTAGTTGTTTACCATACCGAGTTTCAGTTTAATTTTCATCCGAGTTCCGTAGTGAATGTAGACATTTTATATTATTTTATGTTTATATGACTCAACAGATCACGTTGGAATGATTAACACATACTGTATCATCAATTGCCAAGGCCTTATCAATGTCTGCATGAAATACCTCTTCATTGCCATTGTAACAACACATTGCCATTCTCTATTGATATGAATCTTTTGACATTGCACATTTATTCCATGTTTAAGCTGTATGTCAATATTTGACAAAATAGTTGGCTAAATCAAGTGTAAAACTCTATTTAATCTTACTTTTAAAGATGAAGTAGAATATCGAAGAATGATGTAGAATCAAAAACCAGACTGGAGCACTTGAATGTGCTGTGAAGCTGCAACAGAACACATACAGTATCTTAGTATTTTTTAATTTCATATAAATTATCTGAAACAACATTGCAAGAGGTGAGGAATATATTTGTCAAAATATAAACAAAAATAGGCTTGAGCGAATATTCCAGAAAATGAAAAATATAGCATAATATCGCCTGCAGTTATTCCTGAAGAGGGGGGAAAAGTTACCTAACGTTACATATACGCTCAGGACTACCGCGTCTCACAAAAAAGAAGGAGATCCCGTTTAAATAGGCCTGATATTACTCAAATCTACGATAATGCTAATGTGCTGAAAAGCTAACGTTCCACAACGCAATTTCACAATTAAAAATGCCAACAAAGCAATTGACTACTTTATTAACCTTAATGTTACTGGCAACTGTACATATAAAGCATATTTAAACCGTATTCTTGCCGTGTTCAGTCCTCTTCAAACTGTCGCAGCTTCAGCACTCTGAGGAGGATTTGATTTGATTTGATTAGAGACGCGACTGTTAGAAAAAAGCGCGTTTGGATTGCATCCGCCCAGCCGGCCGCAGCTTCAGCACTCTGAGGAGGATTTGATTTCAGAGACACGACTGTTAGAAGAAAGCGAATCCGCCCAGCCTCCGTAATGAGTCCGCTAGTTTATTTCATATGTACTAAAACAACATTGCGAGGAGAGGTGGGGAATATATTTGTCGACATATAAATAAAAATAGACTTGAACTAATATTCTAGAACCAAATTTAAATTAAAAAAAGAGTTTATTCTCGCCTGCAGTTACGTTATTCCTGAAGAGGGGTGAAAAATTACCTAACGTTACACGATGCTAATAATGCTAAAGAGCTAACCTTAACTGGACATTCCACAATGAGTCCGCTAACTGACAGTGCGCTGTCCGGAGGCGGGGCATATTCTGGGCGAGTGACCGAACAGAGTCTGACAGTACAGCGGAGCTGCCGATTTGAGGGCGGATCCGTCCCGGAGTCTGTTGCTATCAGGGATGGGCTTCCAGTATGTCGCTGTAAGAGTACAGGAAACAGCAACAGCTAGCAATGGTTCACTTACCTGCTTATGGCATCAAAATGTGCTATAAATCCTAACCCTAACCTTCAATCTCTCCTTACCACAGAACCTGTGTGGTCCATACGTTTTCCTCATCTTCGCTCTGTTTTCTGGTCTTCACGTTTTTCCGAGTTCCTGAAACGAGGCAAAACTTTTGACCAGATCTCTGCCACCTTCCACCATCATCCACAAAACATGAAGGATATGGTTCAGGGGAAGCACAGTACAGAACTGGACTACCTAGGTTCTGATGGGACAGAGAACTGAGGCTTGAGTACAAGAGAGATGGTGAAAGGGGGGCCAGAATGACCGCAACTGACCGTTCTTTGAGGCTTGGAGAGGAAAATGGGATGCATACCAAAAAGAGAACATTACTACTCAGCAGAGAGTAAGGCATTTGGTATTTGGATATTGGGTATTATAAAGATGGATGTTGGACAATGGAAGAGAGAGCACGTTTGAGTTTTTAAAAAAAGAGCAACAGACTTGAGTTTTGGAATCCCGCACTTTAAAATGCACTTAGGTTTCCATATGCCATGAAACCAGTTATGCTTTTGCATACAACTCTAGTAGACAGACTATGCTTTAAGTTCCTAGCATTATTTAAAAAGGTTTTAGTAACAAAGTGTCAAATACTTTCAAAGGATAAAATGCTTTTTAACAGTTTTTGCACAAAGCTAAAATTTCATCAGCACATTTTTAGTGCTTATACTGTGGTCATTCACTATCCTTGACACACATTACAAAAACAAATTATTTCAAACAAAACCTCCAACATTGTTACAAATCAGTTTTAAATACAGCATCATACATTTAAACATTGTAGGGTATCAGACCGAATCAGACAATTTAAGATTTGATCCTCACTTTCTCTCTTTCTGCAACTTGTGTGAATGCGTGTGTTTATGTGTTAGATTAGTTTATATGTCTTAGATTTATCCAATAAAGCCTTATTTATATTGAAAAGAGAAGTATCTTGTGTTTTGTGCTTACAAGTTAATGTCTTAAACTGCCGATCTTGTTACTGTGCTAATAAATAGTGTTTTCACTATACTTTGGATATTAATATCCATTGCAGAGTTGATGTTATACGGCTCGTTCAATGAATCGCTGGCCGTCTCAGTGATCAGCCGTAAAACAGTGATTCTGTCCAAATTCCCTTTAAAATCTTAAATGATTCCCTTTGAGCTAAATTGACCTGTTTCCCTTACAACATGCACATTTCTATTCACTAGAACTGTTTGTATAGAACCCAACTGAATGAATAAAAAATCGAGGTGTGCTATTTGTCTAAAAGAAAAAACTATACTCCTTACAAGTTGAATTCTGTTGTCACTGTATGCCACATTTTGAGGTGTAAGCCAAGTGTAACTTTTTGACAACTTGTATGGTTGAATAAAACATGTTTTTGTTCTCTGAGAATATTTTTAACAACTGTACATGCACAAAAAGGTTGACCAGTTTTTCAACAAGGTTTGGTACAAGAGTGCAAGGATAAATTGATACATTAAGCTTATGCATATGCTACTTTTACATTTTGAGATGTCAATCATGAATGCAGACTTCTGAATTTTCTGTCAAGAATGACCTGCACAAAAACACTTATTCAGAGCAAAAGGTCCAAAGAAGAGTCAGAAGGCTTTGCAAATACTTTATTTACTTCACTGGCATTGCACATAATCCCCACCAAAGAAAGGAACATTCCAAAAGAAAAGAAAAAGGGACCATCTTAAACCAGTTTGTATTTTGATTGGACGCATATTTTCCCTTTTTATCTAGTTATAAGTAAGAGAAGAGTCTGTGCAGGGCTCATCACACTGGATGGCATTTCCTCTCACTGATGAACTTAAAGTAGCCGAACTGGTCAAGTTTTCTCTACTGCTCATCGCCCATAGTACAGAACAAAACTTCAAAGGGGAAATATTGCAAATATAATGGGCTTTCAGAGCAGGTTTCTCTCTCTTTTTTTTTTTCAATTTTAATTTTAAATGGCTAAAGATGCATCAACCCAACCCAACCCTCCCTTCCCCACCAGCCCCTTCCTCTCCATCCATCCATCCTTCTCTTTCTCTCTCCCTGAGAGATAAATTATCCCGACCTCAAGCGGTGAATTAAGTTGGGGGAGGGACAAGGATGTAGAAGTGAGGGGCAATTGTTTGCACACTGGTTGAATGTTTGACGAGACAAGCAAGGTCCTACCCCCATACTAACCCAACCGGAAACCTATGCAGAAACACAGGAAGAGAAAAATGTGAGGTATGAAAGAGAAAAAACTAAGATACAGGCAAAAAGGTAAGACATTGGGAGATGACAACATTTATGGTTAAACATTTAGACATAAGGTGAATTTACATATAAAACATTTCAAAAACTAAAATCCAGTAAATGCTTAATTGCCTTTGCCAGCTGAAACTAAAATTTGTTTTCTACAACTTCTTTTTAAATGGCATCACTTAAAGGGATAATTCACCCAAAATGAAAATGTGCTGTTAATTTACTCATCCTCAGGCTATCAAAGATATAAGCAACTTTCTTTTTCAGTAGAACAGTAGAATAAAAAAAAAAAAAAAAGATTTTTAGCTGAAACCATGGTTCTTGGTGATTCATAAAATGCAAGTTGACGGCTACAGTCATTTTGAGAGACAATAACAACAACAAAAACAGCATATCCGACAACAAAAAATTAATACCTGTGGCTCCGGACGATATAGAGAAGTCTTAGGAAGCAAATTATCGGTCTGTGCAAGAAAATATATCAAGTGCATATAAAGTGAATAAACTAGTCTTAAATCAACTCACCTTTTTAAATAAACCATGAGAAAACATAGAAACTTAAAGGGATAGTTCACCCAAAAATGAAAATTCTGTCATTAATTACTCACCCTCATGTCGTTCCAAACCCGTAAGACCTCGATCCACTACCACGATCAACGTCCAGAAACATAACAAGGAGATCGGTAAAATAATCCATGTGACATCAGGGGTTCAACCGTAATATTACGAAGCTACAAGAATACTTTGTGCGCAAAAGAAAAAAAAAAAAAAACGACTTTATTCAACAATTTGTCTCGACCCTAGCGCAAACAGCATATGTTGATCTGTCAGCCGCACCACACGGAGACAAATTGTTGAATAAAGTCGTTATTTTTTTCTTTTGCGCACAAAAAATATTCTTGTAGCTTCGTAATATTACGGTTGAACCCCTGTCTGACAGCTCTCTGACCCTCCCATAGACAGCAAGGGTACTACCACGATCAACGTCCAGAAACGTAGCAAGGAGTTCGGTAAAATAATCCATGTGACATCAGGGGTTCAACCGTAATATTACGAAGCTACAAGAATACTTTGTGCGCAAAAGAAAAAAAAAAAAAACGACTTTATTCAACAATTTGTCTCGACCCTAGCGCAAACAGCATATGTTGATCTGTCAGCCGCACCACACGGAGACAAATTGTTGAATAAAGTCGTTATTTTTTTCTTTTGCGCACAAAAAATATTCTTGTAGCTTCGTAATATTACGGTTGAACCCCTGATGTCACATGGATTATTTTACTGATCTTTTTTTTACGTTTCTGGATGTTGATCGTGGTAGTACCCTTGCTGTCTATGGGAGGGTCAGAGAGCTGTCAGAATGCATCAAAATATCTTAATTTGTGTTCAGAAGATGAACGGAGGTCTTACGGGTTTGGAACGACATGAGGGTGAGTAATTAATGACAGAATTTTCATTTTTGGGTGAACTAACCCTTTAACTCAATTTAGCTCCTTGATTCAAGTACTTGGTTCATGCATACTCATATAAACAGCTTAACAGCTCTTCGGTCCGAGTCCAAACAGTTTCCTCCGTTCAGTGTACTATTGGAGTAACCGGAACGCTGAATGAGTTGGCAAAAACTGGCATCACAGGATCATATACGCCAATATAGTGGCTCATTTCAAGTCAAGAGTGACTGTCGGCCACGTTCAAAAGAGAGTTTTGATTGAGTAACTTGTAGATCTGTGCTGGCTTGAGCCACAAACGGTTTCAGATGGTTCAGTCCAATTTAGTGAACTGGTTCATCCAGTTCACTCAAAAGAACCAGTTTAAAAGAATGATTTGCTGGACATCTCTCTGGATGTTTCTTGCACATACCGATCATTTCGCTTTATAAGTCCAAAATATAATTTTCTGGAGCCACATATTAATTTTGTGTGGCCTGACATACTATTTTTTTTTTTTACTCTTAAAGTGACAGTAGCCATTGACTTGAATTTTATGAATCACCAATGACCATAGTTTCAGCTAAAAACCTTTACTGTTATACTTAAGTTACATCTTGGATGGCCTGAGGATAAGAAAATTAACAGCAAATTTTCATTTTTTGGTGTAAAACAAAATTAAGCCTTTCGGAATATCGAGTAGCTGCTGCTTAGTTTAGCCTGTGGTCAAGCTGACAACATCTGATGTATTTCAGCAGCAGTTGCAGTTTGAAGGCCAAAACTATTTACCACCTTCAAAACACAGCACCAGTTTAGCTCAGGAAGTCTCACCTCTTGCCGGAGGTCACATGATTCCTTCCAGGTCACAGCAATCATTCTGAGGGCTTGGAAGCTGTGGGAGGAGGTGTCTACACAGGGAGAAAGTGTTGTTAGTGCACATGGGGTAGTGGGCACATGCACATCACATGACAAATGCCAAGAAACAACATGCTGCCCAAAATACTGTTTAAATAAATAAATATAACGGCTGTACACTTATATATATATATATATATACACACACACACACACACACATTTATTTTATAATTATATTTTGTTTGTTATTATTATTATTATTTTGGTAACACTTTCGTATATGGACCAATTCTCACGATTAACTAGTTGCTTATTAGAATGCCTATTAATAACATATTGACTGTTTATTAGTAGTTATAAAGCACATATTCGGCATAATCATATTCTACATCCCTAATCCTACCCAATACCTAAACTTAACAACTACTAACTATTAATAAGCAGCAAATATTT